CGACTCGGGATGTAAACACCAGCATACTTAAAAAGAAGTATAACTTCGCCTCCAGGTCCTTCAAAAGAGTTATTGCCAAGGCAAAGTCAGAGCACATAGGCAGAATTGGCGAGAAACTAGTTCGCCTTCCTTCGGGAACCCGTGCATTCTGGTCTCTCGCCAAGGCTGTCCAAGGGAATTTCTGTAAGCCATCACTACCATCTCTGCACAGGGAGGATGACTCACTGGCCTATGACGCAAAAGACAAAGCCGACCTTTTAGGCTCCCTTTTTGCGTCCAACTCGACTCTTGATGACGGGGGGAAAACACCGCCGACCATCCCGCGGTGTGAGTGCTCCATGCCGGATGTGCTGTTCTCACAGCGCTCGGTTCGCAAAGCACTGCTCTCCCTGGACATCCAGAAGTCGGGTGGGCCTTTCGGAATCCCCCCAATTGTGCTGAGGACGTGTGCTCCGGAGTTGGCACCGGTCCTAACGCGTCTTTTCCGGTACTCCTACTCCCAAGGCGTAGTCCCGAATTCATGGAAGACAGCTTTTGTCCACCCGATTCCTAAAAAAGGCGACCGCTCAGACCCATCCAACTATAGGCCTATCGCGATCACCTCCTTGTTCTCCAAAATAATGGAATCCATTATTAACTGCCAGCTCATCCGGTACCTTGAGGATCACCAGCTGATTAGTGACCGCCAATACGGTTTTCGTCGGGGTCGATCAGCTGGTGATCTTCTGGTCTACCTGACCCATAGATGGGCGGAGGCAGTAGAGTCCAAGGGGGAGGCGTTGGCCGTTAGTCTGGACATTGCGAAGGCCTTCGATCGGGTTTGGCACAAAGCGCTTCTTTCGAAGCTCCCTTCCTATAGGCTTCCCGAGAAATTGTGCAATTGGATCACCAGCTTCCTTGCAGATCGGAGCATCAAGGTCGTTGTAGACGGTGCATGCTCTGACTACAAGCCTATTAACGCTGGTGTTCCACAAGGCTGTGTGCTATCACCAACGCTGTTTCTTCTGCATATCAATGATATGTTGCTAACTGGTAACATTCATTGCTATGCGGATGACAGCACTGGTGATGCTCTATACACCGGCCGTGCCAATATTTCTCGGCAAAACGTCACCGAGTACCGGAACAAACTTGTGCCTGAAGTCGAGTCTTTGCTGGACAAAGTCTCGGATTGGGGGCGACTAAATCTAGTCCAGTTTAATCCTCAGAAGACACAAGTTTGCGCGTTTACCGCTAAAAAGAACCCCTTTGTCGTATGTCCTCAGTTTCAAGGCACTCCCCTTCTTGCCTCAGCCAGTATCGGTATCCTCGGAGTCGACATATCGAGTGACGTGCAGTTTCGTGGTCACTTGGAAGGGAAGGCCAAATTGGCCTCTAAAAAGCTTGGCGTGCTCAGCAGAGCGGGACAGTATTTCATGCCGGCACACCGCCTTCAACTTTACAAGGCGCAAGTTCGGCCTCACATGGAATACTGTTCCCACCTCTGGGCAGGGGCTCCCCAGTGCCAGCTCCTTCCACTTGACCGCATCCAACGCAGAGCTGCTCGAATCGTCGGCGACCGAGCCCTTTCCGATCGGCTCGATTCATTGGCACTGCGAAGAGATGTTGCATCCCTTTGCATTTTCTTTCGCATCTACCATGGGGAGTGCTCTGAGGAATTGTTCGGATTAATCCCAGCAGAACTCCCGATACCATCCACACCATCTGGATGATTGGCGGTCCACCACTGTGCGATTTAGAAGATGTTTTCTTCCTCGCACGACCTCCTTGTGGAATCGATTACCATCAGCGATTTTTCCGGACCGATACGACTTAGGGACCTTCAAGAAAAGAGCGTACTCCTTTTTAAAAGGCCGGCAACGCATCTGCGATTCCCCTGGTGTTGCAGTTGTTCATGGGCGGCGGTAGTCACTTACCATCAGGTGAGCCGCATGCTCGTTTGCCCCGTCTCCTATAAAAAAAAAGAGAGAGAGATAGATGTTAGTGGGTGATAGTGTGCTGTGTGTGCAGAAGAGAACGGCGCGGGGTTCGTGCGTCGAGTAGGGGACGCGGGCGGCGGGCAGCTGGTGGTGTGTGTGTGAGAGAGAGATAGATGTTAGTGGGTGATAGTGTGCTGTGTGTGCAGAAGAGAACGGCGCGGGGTTCGTGCGTCGAGTGGGGGACGCGGGCGGCGGGCAGCTGGTGGTGTGTGTGTGAGAGAGAGATAGATGTTAGTGGGTGATAGTGTGCTGTGTGTGCAGAAGAGAACGGCGCGGGGTTCGTGCGTCGAGTGGAGGACGCGGGCGGCGGGCAGCTGGTGGTGTGTGTGTGAGAGAGAGATAGATGTTAGTGGGTGATAGTGTGCTGTGTGTGCAGAAGAGAACGGCGCGGGGTTCGTGCGTCGAGTGGGGGACGCGGGCGGCGGGCAGCTGGTGGTGTGTGTGTGAGAGAGAGATAGATGTTAGTGGGTGATAGTGTGCTGTGTGTGCAGAAGAGAACGGCGCGGGGTTCGTGCGTCGAGTGGGGGACGCGGGCGGCGGGCAGCTGGTGGTGTGTGTGTGAGAGAGAGATAGATGTTAGTGGGTGATAGTGTGCTGTGTGTGCAGAAGAGAACGGCGCGGGGTTCGTGCGTCGAGTGGGGGACGCGGGCGGCGGGCAGCTGGTGGTGTGTGTGTGAGAGAGAGATAGATGTTAGTGGGTGATAGTGTGCTGTGTGTGCAGAAGAGAACGGCGCGGGGTTCGTGCGTCGAGTGGGGGACGCGGGCGGCGGGCAGCTGGTGGTGTGTGTGTGAGAGAGAGATAGATGTTAGTGGGTGATAGTGTGCTGTGTGTGCAGAAGAGAACGGCGCGGGGTTCGTGCGTCGAGTGGGGGACGCGGGCGGCGGGCAGCTGGTGGTGTGTGTGTGAGAGAGAGATAGATGTTAGTGGGTGATAGTGTGCTGTGTGTGCAGAAGAGAACGGCGCGGGGTTCGTGCGTCGAGTGGGGGACGCGGGCGGCGGGCAGCTGGTGGTGTGTGTGTGAGAGAGAGATAGATGTTAGTGGGTGATAGTGTGCTGTGTGTGCAGAAGAGAACGGCGCGGGGTTCGTGCGTCGAGTGGGGGACGCGGGCGGCGGGCAGCTGGTGGTGTGTGTGTGAGAGAGAGATAGATGTTAGTGGGTGATAGTGTGCTGTGTGTGCAGAAGAGAACGGCGCGGGGTTCGTGCGTCGAGTGGGGGACGCGGGCGGCGGGCAGCTGGTGGTGTGTGTGTGAGAGAGAGATAGATGTTAGTGGGTGATAGTGTGCTGTGTGTGCAGAAGAGAACGGCGCGGGGTTCGTGCGTCGAGTGGAGGACGCGGGCGGCGGGCAGCTGGTGGTGTGTGTGTGAGAGAGAGATAGATGTTAGTGGGTGATAGTGTGCTGTGTGTGCAGAAGAGAACGGCGCGGGGTTCGTGCGTCGAGTGGGGGACGCGGGCGGCGGGCAGCTGGTGGTGTGTGTGTGAGAGAGAGATAGATGTTAGTGGGTGATAGTGTGCTGTGTGTGCAGAAGAGAACGGCGCGGGGTTCGTGCGTCGAGTGGAGGACGCGGGCGGCGGGCAGCTGGTGGTGTGTGTGTGAGAGAGAGATAGATGTTAGTGGGTGATAGTGTGCTGTGTGTGCAGAAGAGAACGGCGCGGGGTTCGTGCGTCGAGTGGGGGACGCGGGCGGCGGGCAGCTGGTGGTGTGTGTGTGAGAGAGAGATAGATGTTAGTGGGTGATAGTGTGCTGTGTGTGCAGAAGAGAACGGCGCGGGGTTCGTGCGTCGAGTGGGGGACGCGGGCGGCGGGCAGCTGGTGGTGTGTGTGTGAGAGAGAGATAGATGTTAGTGGGTGATAGTGTGCTGTGTGTGCAGAAGAGAACGGCGCGGGGTTCGTGCGTCGAGTGGGGGACGCGGGCGGCGGGCAGCTGGTGGTGTGTGTGTGAGAGAGAGATAGATGTTAGTGGGTGATAGTGTGCTGTGTGTGCAGAAGAGAACGGCGCGGGGTTCGTGCGTCGAGTGGGGGACGTGGGCGGCGGGCAGCTGGTGGTGTGTGTGTGAGAGAGAGATAGATGTTAGTGGGTGATAGTGTGCTGTGTGTGCAGAAGAGAACGGCGCGGGGTTCGTGCGTCGAGTGGAGGACGCGGGCGGCGGGCAGCTGGTGGTGTGTGTGTGAGAGAGAGATAGATGTTAGTGGGTGATAGTGTGCTGTGTGTGCAGAAGAGAACGGCGCGGGGTTCGTGCGTCGAGTGGGGGACGCGGGCGGCGGGCAGCTGGTGGTGTGTGTGTGAGAGAGAGATAGATGTTAGTGGGTGATAGTGTGCTGTGTGTGCAGAAGAGAACGGCGCGGGGTTCGTGCGTCGAGTGGGGGACGCGGGCGGCGGGCAGCTGGTGGTGTGTGTGTGAGAGAGAGATAGATGTTAGTGGGTGATAGTGTGCTGTGTGTGCAGAAGAGAACGGCGCGGGGTTCGTGCGTCGAGTGGGGGACGCGGGCGGCGGGCAGCTGGTGGTGTGTGTGTGAGAGAGAGATAGATGTTAGTGGGTGATAGTGTGCTGTGTGTGCAGAAGAGAACGGCGCGGGGTTCGTGCGTCGAGTGGGGGACGCGGGCGGCGGGCAGCTGGTGGTGTGTGTGTGAGAGAGAGATAGATGTTAGTGGGTGATAGTGTGCTGTGTGTGCAGAAGAGAACGGCGCGGGGTTCGTGCGTCGAGTGGAGGACGCGGGCGGCGGGCAGCTGGTGGTGTGTGTGTGAGAGAGAGATAGATGTTAGTGGGTGATAGTGTGCTGTGTGTGCAGAAGAGAACGGCGCGGGGTTCGTGCGTCGAGTGGGGGACGCGGGCGGCGGGCAGCTGGTGGTGTGTGTGTGAGAGAGAGATAGATGTTAGTGGGTGATAGTGTGCTGTGTGTGCAGAAGAGAACGGCGCGGGGTTCGTGCGTCGAGTGGGGGACGCGGGCGGCGGGCAGCTGGTGGTGTGTGTGTGAGAGAGAGATAGATGTTAGTGGGTGATAGTGTGCTGTGTGTGCAGAAGAGAACGGCGCGGGGTTCGTGCGTCGAGTGGGGGACGCGGGCGGCGGGCAGCTGGTGGTGTGCGGGCGGCGGGCTGCCGGCCGCCTGCTGGAAGCTGTGCTGGACCACGTCGTGACCGAACGGCTAGGCTCCAACGCCGCTAGAATATTCAGGTGGGCTGAATATCCTGGTTATAACTATATCTTTGACAAGCGTGTGTTGGCGGCTTGAGAGAATTCATTGTCTCATAACATCTCAGCGAGTGTCGCGGCAGTGGTGAATGACAGGATTTGGGCAGCAGCATCTTCCTGATAACAACGCCAGGTATAACTGGCAACTATGGCAAATATCTCCTCTAAGATGCAATCTATGGGGGAGACCGTTCAACAGTGAACTTTTGATAGGCTGTAAGAATTAATGAAAAGTTGACAAACAAGCACATAGTCCACCTTATGGTCAATGAATTGCGTGACCCATGTACACCTACACTTCCTCGATAAACAATCAAAATGCAGATGCGTTGTCACCATTGATGTCTTAGAAACGCCTCGTAATCAGTAAAAAGGATCTTCGGTTCACGTAACTCACTATACAAAACACAGCGGAATTATGATGATATTTTATGTGGTATTGTGTGCGAGTCTGGTTCCCGAGCCGGAACAATTATTTGTGAGCTATAACAAACCTTGTTCTGTGTAGGATTTGAAACCACGGCCCCGCCGTGCCTTAGCCAAATGCTTAGTCACTGCGACATTCATCGGTTATATCTGTGTACTTGAGTGCCTGTTACTACAATAAGTTGAGCATGCGTTTGGCTTGACCTCTTAAAATATATCTTTCATTGTTGAGCTGAGTGTTTTTTAATTAAAAATTAATAATTCCAGACTAATTCGAGCGAAGAAATATATAGAAGAAGATGATATACAGAAGCACGCTATGTTGCCTAATAAAGAATGCAAGGAACTCACTTACAAACTTCTAGAAGAGCATTTTATTAGTGTACAAGTAAGTTATATTCCAGTTATGTTTTTAAATCTTAAAATATTTTTTTAAAGTCCGCAATTATTAAAATAAATGTCATGACATCCATTATCCGTATGAACATCTTTAAATTACTATTGCTTTTATTTGTAGCTGTGGAAGATATGTGGAAATTAATAACAAAAAGCAAATTAAAGGAATTAAAGTGAATACATTCCATATATACAATTATTGTAAAAATTTGTTTACCGCCAAGTTCCAAAACTTTATAAAAAAAGGGGGTTACTAATATAATATTAAGGAATTTATGAATGATAATAACCTCCGGGAATGAGGTGATCGCTACCAAGCTACTTCCAATTTGTTTTGTGTAGTTTTTTTATACATGATTGTAAACGGTTCTTTTATTTAAATTAAATTAAATTTAAAAAAAAATAAAATTAAAAAAATGTCCCGCTGGGTATCTTGCTGGTTTTTTCTCAGGACAGAGGTATTTTCTGAAGTAATGCTAAATTAAACATATGAATGACTTTCAAAAAGTGTTATTTATAATATATATTAAATAAAAAAATATTTTGGGTTCTTCTTCTTTTTTAATAATGATTTACTTGTTAAAACTTTTTAGTTCATGTTCTTACCTTTACCACTAAAGTTTAACTGAATAATCTAAACTAAATTATAAAATATTTGTTTCAGCCAATGCGAAAAGCAGCGTCTGCAGGTGGGATGGCAAAAGCGATATATTTATATCACATTAAAACGCACGACGTAAGTAACAGTATATTTTTACAGTGCGAAACTATTTTCTGTTTATGTTCATACAGGTTATTGTGGTATATGATACAATAGATGATAACTCGGTTATTACTAGTTCGAGAAAGTATTTCAAAACAGTTAATGTTACTCTTATGTTTTTTTTTATAAAACCTAAGTGACAAACGGACTTACTGTCAATCTGATGGTGTGTGGCTACCGCAGTCTATGGACACCTGCAGCCAACTTCAAACAAAGGCTACAGATGCGTTGACACATCTGAGAACTTAAATGGAATGCCTCGCCTTCAGATCGGAACAGAGCAGTGTAAGCGCTCTTACTTTGCGGCAGAAATAGGTACGTATTTACGCGATTTAGGATATTTTCAACGATAAAATTTAATAACCGAGAAATCAGAGAAGGAAAAAAATGTATAAATCATTTTATAAACTCAAACATATTTGATTGACAAATAAAAATATGGTTATTTCGCAAGATTCGTTTTATTACAATAATCATCATAGGTACAACCCTAGCGCATTCGTGCGATGACGCGCTTGCACGTGAGTCGCACGGCGGTCAACATAACCTCGACTCTTTAAGCGCGTGCTTATGGTACATTTTCGTCTCGCTACGAACAGCAGATATTATTATTAAAAGTTTGTAGGCTATTATAGCGTAGGTATTTTCGTTTTTGTATGGGAGTGATGTATCTGTTTACTTTAGTAAACTATTTAGTAATCTGTGGTAGTAGTAATAGTAGACTTAATGGAAAACTACAAATAAGATTAATTTTCTAATGAAGAAAAGCTAGTAATCGGGGAATAATAAATGTTTTCTTGCTCTCCTGTATTTTTTTTTTGAATAATTGAGGTTCGCCCCCTTTGTGGCGTCAACGACAATTGTTTGTGCTAAGAATACTGAGTTTCCATGTAAAAATATCTTAATTTTACAATATCTTAATTGATAATTGCATAAATGAAATCGCAATAAAGTTAGAATATAGCAACATCGCCAACAAAAAAGCATTAGGAAATCTCATCTGTCGTTCGTTACATCGTATTTTTTTAACGTTCATCAATTTTCCGTAATTTTCTACTTTATTGATTGCTTCTGCTTATGGACTCTGTGTTTTCCCGTTTTCCCATTCCCTATGTGACTAGTGCTCGCCTAAGGATTCTGATATCTGCCTCATACGGCGACATTTTTCTGTGACTCTAGATTACGATTCTGCTTGATACCTTGAATTTTGTTGTGTATACGTTGGTTTGTTTTTTTCACGATGGGAAGCCGTGTAAGACTTAATGTGTGTTAACTGCAAGATATGTCTCAATAAAAAGCGCAGATACACGGCATTGATACTTGATTCGAAATTCAATGTCAGAAAATATTTCAACACAGGCGCGGCGGGTTTTCTTGATGACTTGTGGTAAAGAAAGATGAAGGATGATTTTTGTTTATTAACCCTTTTCAGTGCGGATGACATGCGAGTCGTGTCTTTTTAAAAGTAGTTATAACTCGCTCAAATTGCGTTTTTGGAAGATTTATCCAGAACATAATATTCATTATTTTGCAAGTAGTTCGTTTCTGGATATTTTGAAAATTTGAATTTTTTAGGGGTTGACAACTTTTTTTTTAACTTGTACATGGTACTCTTTTTACTTTGTGGGCTTTAAATCATGTTGTGGAAAAATAGTCTAATAAGAAACAAATAATAGCACTCATTGCGATCGCTCACAAACTCTAGTTGTAAATAAATTTCAGGAAAACAAGTCTCCCGTTAAAAAAAATACAATGCGTTTGTCTTATTGTTTAATTTTGCTTAAAATGGTTTAACTGCCGTCTTATTACTATCATATGGCCGAATAGACCTACGAAGTACCATGTGCTCTTGTGATATGTTATAAGGTTTATTTTTGCTTGAAACAGTTTGAAACCGTTCATGCATAAAAAAAGTTCGCTAATAAATAGTCTTTTGTCAATCCGCTGCCGTATAGCGGCGGCGTTTTTTTTTTCTTTTGAAAACACTTGTTTTGCTATTCTTACTAATTAGACGTTTTCAGATTGACTTTACTTTTACATTTGTATAACATTAAATAATATCCAACATTTGTAAATATCAATGAATCATAAACCTTTGTACACGCACCTAGTTGCCCAGACTAAGGTCGAACATACAGGGGCCCATACAGCTGTTAGATTCGACGGACAACTAAGTGTGGGGCTCAAATGCCTATGGATATTTAATATATATGAACTAGGTACTTAATGAGACTTACCTGTTCTGAGGCGAAGAAGGACCACAAGGCTCGTTCAGGCGTTAAGTAGGTGCATGTAAGTAGTGTGTGAGAAGTGTATATATGTTTAACCTGAATTAGCCCTTTTTAAGCAACAATCAACCCTGACCCCAGCACCGCCACCCTATGTGGTATCACTCCAGCGGCGTCACTCGGTGTCATTCAAAGTCTAGCGTCCATTAGCACAAATCTATAATCTAATACGAACGCTGGTTCTCGCGGGTCACAAAGTTTAGCTGTTTTAACCGACACAGGAAAATATCTCCGAGTTAAATCCAATGGCACAAAGCAACTCGTTAACGCGAATCAATATTGTCAGAATGCACTTAAGCATGCAACCACTATACCACTTGACGTTCAAAACTCAACTAAATCCCGTTAATTATAATCAAAAACGTAACACGCGGCACGACTGATGAGCGGTGGCTCAAAGTTCATTTCCGTTCAGTCAGCAACAAATTATTTCGAGAACCGAACGTGACCTTTTTAGGCACTTAACGCGACGATACAATTAAACATTAACTTCCCAACAATTAGTCAACCCGGCGTCTAATGTTCTAGACTACAATTCCTCGTCGTTGCATAAATTTGCTAACAAAATCGACACGATCAGAGGTAACCACGTGGCTCGAGTAGACTCACAGCAAAGCTTAGACAACCGAATCCGAGACGGTCTTCACGAAACACAATTTAAGTAGCGAAGTAACGCGCACAAATACTGAAAATCTATACCTGGTAAAACCAAAACTGGTCGCACGAAATCGCTGCCACGGTCACCACAAAAATTACGTTGCGACGGCGTCGCTGCACTAAAGCTACTGTATTCAGCCCGCGCGTTGAGCGACTGCCAGTGGCACGCGACCGCCCCCCTCCCCTTCGGCGGCGTTTACCTCACCTCACACCATCGGGTGAGACACTAAGTCGTACGTAATTGGATGCCTCTTCAAATGCCTATATTTGGGCCTAAACAACCTTATTTTTTTCCAAATGAAGGTTCTTGATTGTTTGATATTTACAAATGTTATTATTAGGTGAAAATTTAATTTAATAAAATTCTGTACCTACTTATATAAATTATTTTTTTTATAAAACAAAAAAAGTACAAAACTTTTGTAATCTCTACATAAAAAAGTCACTTACTCTCAATTTCAAAGAAAACACGTAGAAAAACACGTAGTTAGCCACTAAAAACTAGTATCCTACCGTTTGTAACTGATGTTTGATGTCAACTAAACTTAATTAGGTCTTCTCTAGGATAAAAGCATACAAAAGAAAATTATTTTTACACATGGCTGATGGCACAATAGGCGTGTCTTGAAATATTTGTTCGCCGCCACAGCTAAAAGTTGTCGAAAATCGATGCCGCAACGAATTGGTTAGTTTATTTTTACTACTTTATTATATGTTTTAAAATATAAAGAAAATAAAACTATACTTATTCGAGCGATCAAGAATATTGTTGAACTAATAGTTAGTGAGGTATGAATACTAAGTCTTGACAGTCACACAACATATGCGAGTTAGATCCCATTTGTAATCTCAATTTTATATGCCTGCTAATTTACCACTTGCTCAGCGGAAAATTAAACCACCAAGAAAGCTATATCTGCTTGAATGAAAATATTTAGAAATCATAAAGTGAAGGCGATCATCTTGATAATGCGAAGTCTTAGAAGACTTCACTACCTCATACTTAGAAGCTCTTAAGACCCAATACCCTCCCGTGAGTGTCGTAAAAGACAACAGAGGGAAAAAAACAGGAGATAACAACATAAAAGAATAAAAAAATTGCACTTCCCAACCCACTTGCTAGAGGTTGAACTATGGCAAATATTTCCCCTATGAGGCAATCTATGGAAAAGGCCTATGTTCAGCAGTGGTCTTTTGATAAGCTGTAATTATTTAATGGATGACGGATAATATCTTGGGGGAGTTGTGGTAGAGCAAGAAAAGAGGAGGCAGACAACAGTCGTGCCGCGCTATTTATACTATCGTAGCAGTGCATACTATGTACGTTCCGTAAAGTAAACCCGGTATCGATTAGACAAATATAAATAAATAAAATATTTCAAAGTACTTTGTTTTTTGTTCCGCTAATAGCACATCACTTGAGGTGTCTATGAAATGGGAAAAAAGGCACAACCTTGTAAAAGAAAGAAAGATAAGAATAATATAATTATCTTATTTTTTATTATGTAAAACGTCAAAAACATAAAGAGTTTAAATACATGAATTTTGTTCTTATTTTAGGATTCCCTCTATGCTAGTTAGTAATTACTCTAAGCCTACTTGAAAAGTAATTTGACTAGTTGTTGTTGTAACGATTCCCTAATTACGACAGGCAAAGGTCTTATAACATACAGCCTAGTCTGATGTGAATTTTGCTCAAACTGGAATATCTTTAATTCCTGACTTCCTGCAGCAATATGATTGAAGACAAAATTGTTCAGGAATCAAACTATATTTTAACACATTTTTTTCATTTGTAGACGCAAGAAAAACATGCCAACAAAAATGTGTTTGAGAGTTCGTCATTTTCTTTGGGCCGAGGTGATCGGTATCTGGCTAAACCGATGGATAAAAGAGTCAAAATGACACGAGCTCCCTTGATTTTTCTCGGACGTGTAGTTGCGACTCAGGTTTACATGAGTCTCACCGGACTATCAAAACACTCAGATTCTCACTGGTCATGAATGTTTTCGGAAGACTGTGCGACATGCGATTGTATGAATTTAGTATGTGTGTGTGGTGCGATAGAGGAGGATGTTGATCATTTTTTATGGGAATGTCCTTTGTATGATGACTTAAGAGTGAAAATGATGGATTTATTCATTTGTCTGTTCCGGACCGGTCGACTACTCGTCGTATTTCGTCAGCAGTGGGGTAAACTATGGGTTGATGACAAAAAAAACAATCTCTCTGCTGTTTATTCCGGCTAATCTCCGAAATGACTGGACCGATGTTGACAGGACTTTTACTGGCGTATAACTGATATTATAAGAAGTAACAACGGCTACTTCAAAAAAGAATTAATACCCATGAAATTCAATGTTAATAAATTCCACTTGTACGAAGTCGCCGACAACAACTAGTCTTATATATTTTCGAAAGTTGAAATGTTACAGTATTTTTTATAGCTTAAGAGTTATTCTTGTGGCAGTGAAATTTGCTTGCCGAAACAGAAATGACATTATATTTTCAATGTGTGGCAAGGTGGCACACACTGCGCAGGAGCTGTGCTACCGCGCGTTGCACAACTGTCTGCGACGCGCAGCGCACGAGCGCAACAAGCACGCGCGCCTGCGCGACAAGCAGCGCCGCGTGCGCACCATAGTGCACGGCATGCGCATGCGCGGCGAGCCGCAGCAGAACATCGACGACGTGAGTCCCACACACGCACACGTACACACGTACACACGCACCAGTACACGCACACGCGCGACAAGCAGCGCCGCGTGCGCACCATAGTGCACGGCATGCGCATGCGCGGCGAGCCGCAGCAGAACATCGACGACGTGAGTCCCACACACGCACACGTACACACGTACACACGTACACACGCACCAGTACACGCACACGCGCGACAAGCAGCGCCGCGTGCGCACCATAGTGCACGGCATGCGCATGCGCGGCGAGCCGCAGCAGAACATCGACGACGTGAGTCCCACACACGCACACGTACACACGTACACACGCACCAGTACACGCACACGCGCGACAAGCAGCGCCGCGTGCGCACCATAGTGCACGGCATGCGCATGCGCGGCGAGCCGCAGCAGAACATCGACGACGTGAGTCCCACACACGCACACGTACACACGTACACACGCACCAGTACACGCACACGCGCGACAAGCAGCGCCGCGTGCGCACCATAGTGCACGGCATGCGCATGCGCGGCGAGCCGCAGCAGAACATCGACGACGTGAGTCCCACACACGCACACGTACACACGTACACACGCACCAGTACACGCACACGCGCGACAAGCAGCGCCGCGTGCGCACCATAGTGCACGGCATGCGCATGCGCGGCGAGCCGCAGCAGAACATCGACGACGTGAGTCCCACACACGCACACGTACACACGTACACACGCACCAGTACACGCACACGCGCGACAAGCAGCGCCGCGTGCGCACCATAGTGCACGGCATGCGCATGCGCGGCGAGCCGCAGCAGAACATCGACGACGTGAGTCCCACACACGCACACGTACACACGTACACACGCACCAGTACACGCACACGCGCGACAAGCAGCGCCGCGTGCGCACCATAGTGCACGGCATATGCTTTTGATAAGATTCATCGTCATCATTACAGCCTACAATAATCCACTGTTGGACATAGAACTACCTCATAGATGGCATGGCACATCATGCCATAGGGGAGATATTTGCTATAGTTGCCACGCTTGACAAGCGATTTGGCAACCATGATAATTTGATATCATTACATTTTTGTCTAACAGGTGGAGGAAACGCTGACGCCACCCGAACTGGCGTTGCTGAAGGATGTCGAGAAGCGGCTCAAACAGCTCAGTGCTGCTGAGCTCGAACTAGACAGGAACCTGTTCATACTCAACTGGTACTTCATGTACTCGAAGTGATCAATCTCATTATGTGAGAAGCTAAAGCGTTAAAAATATTGTTATCGTTTCACTATACGTCAAACGTAAAAATGTGATATAATTGTGTACAGACAATAAAGCCCTTTAAGTGTCTCGTTCAATAGTTAATACGTTCATTCCCTTAGCTTTTTACAACATTTTATTTGACAATGCTTGTTTATTAGGTCAAATCTTGCAAGCTGAACCAGTTCCTCCAAACCGATTTTGCCAAAATTTTCCATACACCTTCAGTTCTAGTGACAATAGAATTTGCAATACCCAATATTGTAATATTTTTAAAACGGCCTAGGGTGCTAAGTTCTAGAGGGTGCTGAGCTTGCCTTTGCAAGCACCACTTATGTATAGATTTGTTTTTTATATCTAATAAGGTTGGTATGTCCCACAGACATCTACATTTATCTTCCTTTGAGAATCAAAATACAGATGCGTTGTCACCCCCGAGGACTAAGATGGAATGCCTCGTTTCCAGTAGAAAAGGTATTTTTTGTATAATAGTCTCAATAAATAATATAGTAAGTACCGCAAGTATGTTGCTGTTTCTTTATTTTTAGTACAAAACAAATAAATAGATTTGTGAAAATAAGACAGAATTATTTGGTTCCTTTCGTCTTTCGTTGACATTCGTTTCGTCCAGTCAGAACGTGATTATCATAATTGAACGCGTATATATCATTTCGCGTCTGTGCTGTTAATTATCAAGGTGGTCATAGGCCTCCCCTATTTCTGAGAGGGTTTTAGGGCAAGGAAATGTCTGCCGCGCTGCATGTCTTCGAATTTTTTTCTTATTTCTCACACATGCAGGTTTCCTCACGATGTTTTCCTTCACCGCCGAGCACGTGGTAAATCAGCACTTAAAATTGCAATTAACAATTTGTAATTGCTCGCGTACTGTAAAATTAACAGCGAGCGCTAACCATCTGAGCTACCACAACTCCCAAGGTGGTTAAGAGGGTTGAAAAGAAAATATAATCCGCCATCTTAAAGCGGCAACTGTTAACAAAATAATAATACAAAATAGTCTATAATAATGCTTTTATTTCAGACCTAGATTTATATAAGTTGTTAGTAATACATTGCACACCTTAACTTTAAATGCTAATGTTAGTTCCTTAAATATGTATAAACACTTTTTAATACACCGTCCCAGTGACTCATCATATGCCCGTCACATCGCCCGGCGTACGTGTTCAGAGTACTGTTGCGGCTGCCACACATTCTGATCAATAGAGCTCAACACTCTTTTAATGCATTATTGCGAAGAAGTCATCTGTTCGTGCTTCTGCAAACATCCCTGATGCTAGCATCTTTGTAGATGTTGTCCATAAGCTGCATACGTAAAAAAATTAGTAGTAGGTTTTAAAAAGTTAAATCTTGACTTCTTCTACGAATCAATATATTTCCAAGGCCCGACAATACCCTCCGCTTCCTCCCGATGTCTATATCATCTAATATAGTGGCCTGATATTATTTTAAACTATTTTACTCTGGCTAAGGCAGTATCATTAAGTTCGATATTAAAATAATATTTGTGGAAAGCAACGATGATAACCGTTATGAATATTTTTCCTCAGTAATGAAATCATAGCGCGGAAGGGTGAAACGTTAGTGAACCCATCATAGGGTTCACTAACGTTTCACCCTTCCGCGCTATTGATACTTCATAACTTATCTATTAATATCCCTTTAATTGCAAAATTCCGCAATAAATAAAAGTATTACAATTATTCAATACAAATAAAATACTCGTATCATCATTTGGAGTAAGATCACTAGATTGACGTTAAGTAGACATTGGACACATTACAGAAATCATATGGCCCTGCTTCCGGAGAGCACAAATGTACGAAACTGACATACCGTCCGCCCGTATAGACTTCAGTAAAATGGTATTAACGTTATTCAGCAAGTCTGTGCAATTTCCGGTAAAATATAGTCACGGTACTGCTTATGCTGGGCTTGCACAATACAAAAAACAGGGTAGTGGCTTAATGGTCTCTTTATTGAAGAACTAAACTGTAGTAAATTAACTGTCAAGGGACCGTGCAACAAGGACGCATTAATTGAAATGTACAGACTTAAAAACATGTCCTTCGAAAACTACAAAACTAATAAATAAATTGATAAAGAAAAGTCTTTTAAAAGCGAGCTATAATTTAAATGCTGTAAACAGAAGGAAATAAACTTTGAAGTAAATTTAACCTATCATTTTGATACGTTATAAAATTGTATATGATTTTTTTTAGATTTTTTTTAGTTTGTTGCGATATTTTCCTATGTAAAAGAGATTGCCAATTCGACGGATTCAACGCGGCTGGGCAGAGTTCAGGAGATTACGATACATCTTCTCGTCAGACATACCTCAGAACCTCAAAACTAGATTGTACAACCAGTACGTGTTGCCAGTGATTAGTGATTACCTATGGATCTGAGACGTGGTCCTTCATTGCTGGCCGTATAAAGAAGCTCAAAGTCGCTCAGCGAGCTATGGAGAGGTCAATGCTCGGCGTTTCTCTGCGTGATAGTAAGTACTTAAAAACGAGAATATCCGCAGTAGAACCAGAGTGACCGACATAACCCAGAGAATTAGTATGCTGAAATGGCAATATGCCGCCCATATAGCTCGAAGAACCGACCACGGATGGGGAAGAAAGGTTCTCGAGTTGCAGCCTCGTACCAGCAGGCGAAGTGTAGGGCGTACCCCCACTAGATGGAATGACGACCTGGTAAGACATGCAGGTAGTCGATGGATGCAGGTGTCTCGGGACCGTGCTTTGTGGCATTCCTTGGGGGAGGCCTATGTTCAGCAGAGGACTTGTGAAGGGCTGTTATGATGATGATGAAAAAAGATTACACAAATTTGTATGGAGGAAAGGCCCAATTTTTTACGATATTTTTTACATAAATGGTAAAAAAACCACATGGCAAGAATTTAGATCTATTAGAGTAGGATTTAATAATTACGTCTTCATCATCAGCCCATAGATGTTCACAGCTGGACTTAGGCCTCTTTATTCGTAAAGAACATTTGCCTCAATCAACAAACTAGTTAATTATCACATAAGCTATCATTTATGAGAAGCGTGAAATAAAAGACTGTATACATTCTTAAAATTTTATTTGACCCCATCGAAACTCAATATTCGTTCATACAATTTACAACCTATTAATGTCGCTCTTAGAAAAACCTCCGGATAATACGTAGTCCCGACACAGACGTAACCAAGCGAACTACCCTGAAATGTACACAAATGCAAGTTTCGAAATACGACCAACCAAAGAGGTAATTAATCAACATCGTTATAATTAATTTAATATTAACAATTATATAGATTATGTATGGTACGTAGATAAACACCTGTTATACAGTGACACCTAATATTCTTTATTAAATTACGAGTACCGTTGTATGCATCGACAACGAATTATTATTTTTGCTATTAATTTTATTTATTAATTGGTTTAAAATTCGTTGATTTAAAATCATATTACAACATTTTATAATTTCATTCAAAAGAAATGATATAGTTCATACGATTTTGAGAAAAATCTACAAAGGCAAAAAGCATTTGGCATCCATAGAACTAGCTATTACATTTGATTACTTTAATATTTTTACTTTTACACATTTTGGTTTACTGTTCTTGAGAAGTTCTGTTTAAATAAACCGTAAATAAATAAATATCTTTGTAGCAACATACGTTATAAATCGATTAGTTAGACTCATTAAATTTAAATTACAAGTGAAAATGCCCCTCTGTACAAATATTTTTCCGTCTCAACAACATTGACAAGTTATTTTTTTAATTATTTTTCATATATTGAATTTCGTGAAGGCGTGACATATTTTAAAAATCGACTTTGGAATTTTAGTACTCGTACATTTTTCCTTGTGAATGTTTATACTCTTTAGGCTAATGAGATTATAACTAAGAATTATATAAATATTTTCCAATCACATCAATCGAGACACATACAACGGTGTTACACATACCCACTTCAAGCTAAATAGTTTAACGCTATACTTGCTTACATAGTCTCTGATATTTACACTCCGTCCTGATCACTGCTGATGTCATACATGTAACCAAATTTATTTTAGTAGACTTGCATGATGAATAAACGATTTATTCTTATAATTAAAGATTTTTACAAGTCAAATTCACTTGTTGCCAATTAAAACGAGTGCCTTTTAGTATGAGATATAAAAATACATACCTAACTGGTTATTAAGAATCTTAAAATTGAAACTATTCTGACATATTTAAACGGTATTAAAAAAAATAATTAAATAATAATTCTTAAAGAATATTTCAGTTATCGTTTAAAATAGTGTTGCAATAGTACAGTATCGGTTAACATAGATTTGTAACTTCATGTAAATCTAAATGCTTTTCATGTGCACTCAAAACAAAAAAAATCTTTAAAAATTGTATGAGAATACCAGAAAATGACGTCATCGCTAAATCGTAATCTTATACATCTTAATATGGATAATTTTAAAGTATAAAGTAACTATGTTAATGTTCAAAACATGTTTATAATCTCCCTGACATACACAGTGATTAGGTTACATCGTATGACATTACATTTGTAGCTATTACCACCTTATCTAAATTTTAAGAGCTATCTCTATAGAAATATTAAAATACGTTGAAGACATCGAACTAACCTGGCCTACAATATCACCTTATGCAAACGAGCCGACCTACGTTTAATTCAGACTATACATACATTAAACTCGGATCGAAAGGAATAATAGGTACACGATGATGGTTCCGTGCGAACCATAAAAAAATACTATCAAACAGACCTTTTGTTTCGCATTGCATCCTAACTTCAATTGTATTGTGTACAAAAATACATATACGTTAATCTTGATATACATTCGTAAAAATAAAATTTAAACTAACAACCAATTAAATTTGTATAACCGACTTCAATATAAATAAAATGAGAACATCATCAATGTAATCGAAGTCAATTAAATACACATTATTAAGGGTAACTCAAAAACTAATGGCCAGATTTTGATCAAATTTATATGGGCCCACAAGAGAAGCACCAGCTTTCAAATAAACAAAAGAATTAAAATTGGTTCACCTAGAAAAAAATTCTGAGGTAACACACAAAAAAAAAGCAGTTGAATTGAGAACCTCCTTCTTTTTTGAAGTTGGTTGAAAAAAAACTAAAAACTTAAATTATCATACAGTCCTACTCTCAGCGGTATAATGCCAATACCGCTGGCCGCGTTTCCGTTTAGCTAAGTATAGCCATTTACCGAGAAAAGAACCAGCCATCTTTCACCAGCAGCAACGACCACTCGCGGATACAGTTCCGGTGAAGTGCCTCACCGCGCGTGGACCCCAAAAAATAATATATATTTAATAAATATTTATGTACACACTATCAATTAACTTTTATTACTTTTATGTTGTGATCACATTTCGTTATGTTATGCTTAAAATAATTAAAGTTATAATATTAAAATGACAGTGTTATTAGAATAGATATTTATTTTAAATATTAAATTGTTCACTAGGTGGCAGCACTGTTCTCCGCCTAGGAGCCCGTCTGGGCGGGTATCACCCTCTGACCTATTTCTGCAACAAAACAGTAGCAGTACTTACACTGCTGTTTTTAGGTATGAAGGGTATCTTAGTCCTCAGAGATGACAACTGATAGAGTTAAGTTGGTTTCATATAAGAGTTCGTTTGTCACTTCAGTTTAAAAGTAATAAAATTGTCTGTAAATCCCATCATTTGACCTGCAGTCCAAACCCGAAGTGAATTTCCTAGATTCAGGTCCTCTCTCTTATTAAATATTATCTATTTATTGAGTAGCCTGTTGATTGTTTAGTTTTTTAGCAATAAAGTCTGAGCCCGCTATAGCGCTGAATATGTGTGTGCAATTACTAATATTTTTGTATCAGAAACCTAAAATAGCATAAAATCATAATAAACATATTTTACAAATTATAATCTCAAAATCCTTCTAACTCCTTTCGATCCGAACCTTTTGAAAGTTTACAAAGCCCTTATTATTAATGTTATTATTAAAATGTCATTTCAAACGAAACAACTCCAAGCGACATCTATATATACAAAACGTGTTGGAAAAGAGAAGCGGGAAAAATAAACATGCTAATAAATTTAAAATTTTATTTTAATTATAAACTAGATATTTTACACAACTTAACAAAATACATACATACAGCAACTGAACAGAAATATAACCAAAAATTTAAAAAAAAAACATTCATACGGCATAATGGACTTTACAAGCAAGACGTGGATACAATGTGCTCATCTCGATTAACCAAATTTTAATATAATTCTCGGCGTCCGCTTCCTTTCCGGTATTACAAATGGCAAGATTTCTATAACATAGTAATCACAATGCTTCGTCCGTTGCTCGTCCATTGAGTGTCAGTTGATTGTCCTAATACTGTTAAAAGCAAATGACCATTGAGCTATTGGCCGTTCACAAGAAGTAGGCTTCAATAATTTTATTTGTACTATATCACAATATATTTCGCATTACACACGAAAGGATGGATCTAAGTGTTTCTCTAAATTTACTGAGGACGCTTCGTAAGCTTACAAAGAATTGAAATTAAGGCTAAGCCGAATAACCTTTGAAACTAATCAAAACTTAAGGCGAATTAAAAAATATAAAAACGTTTTATAGCTAGAAAATATATGCTCGTAGTATAGCGAGAGTGCTTTGTGATGCTTAATGAGGAATAAAAAAAAATATCCATTTAAATATTTACAAAAGTATTATGAACTGGTAACATGTGAAGGACAAAGTCGGGGATGTGCTGGACAATTACCATTCTATACATGACACATGGTACTGGACACGATAATATAGAGGCTGATAAGCTTTACTTTAAAATTATAATAACAGTATTATAAAAAAAATTAAAATTTCCAAATCAGTTATGCGATCAACCATTACTATAGGCTAATCCTCTAGGACTGAGGACTAGTTGTGGGAAATATTTCATACAAACTCCTGCAATTTGTCATTTTTGTATGTAGGTATTACTGCATAGTTAAAATAATAACTGTCTTCTCGATAGGAAAGTGCATTTTACAACCAGTACCATGTTCAAGAATCTACACTTTGTTCATTTCCAGTTTTTAAAACTATTATATGTTAAGCCGGTGCTCGACTACTGTCCCACTTGGACGGTAGGTAAGTGGTGATGTAGCCGAAGTTGTCAAAATCACTGATTTAGCTTAACAAAGCCTCTTCTCTTCATTCACATCTTCAGTTGAATGTGAAGAAGTATAAACAGTGTTTCTTACATCTTATCAATAAAGATAATTTAAGTTTTTTATGATATTAAAATTTTGTACACAGTGTTTAGTTTTCATCGCATTTAGTTTCATAAAGGCTCGCTACGAATTTTATATTCGAGTGTTAGGGATTTCGTTACGTGGAAGCTTTTATAGAAAAATGACGATCAAACTTCGTCGCGTATTTTAAAGGAGGTGCAACGTATCTTTATTTATACGTCATAATACACAAAAGGGATCTTGGCTACCACAAGTTTTTATGAATTATGGAAGACGTACACAGGCAGTATCTAAAATAAAATTAAATTGAAAAAAAAACAGCTTATAAAAATGATAAGAATAAAATAAAAGATATTAAGATAAGAAATCAAAATATATATAAATTGAAGCATTCAGAAGGGTATTTCTAATAGAAAAAGAAATATTTTTATAAGTCCTATGAAATAATAATAATGTAAATATCTTCAGTTTTATTTTTACTGGCCTTGAACTTCACCTGTAAACCCAAATTCTTTGTTATGTGTTTTTATTAGTGTTTAATTATTCCCTGCGTACATGTGTTTGTGAATAATTTAGATAATCTAACCGCATAGCAATTTAACAGTAAAATACAATTCAATTAGTACTATGTCGGTTTTTTTTATATATCCAGCACATCATCATTATTGTAAACATGTTAAAATATAAACAGAGACGCTGTTGAGTTATTGACGAATTATACAAATTAGAATATATAATTATATTTAAGGATGTATACAGAAGACGACTACACAAGCAACTTTCTAAAGGTATTTAATGTTAACACTAAAATTTAACAGCCAGTGAGTCAACTCCAGCAGTCGTCATGCTCGCGTTTTATTGATTGCGAAAAAGTTGTATCTATTATTTAAAACGAGAAACATGAATTATTGCAAGTTTCATTATATTATTATTTAAGTTATAAAGCAAAAGCAAAACCGTTTATAAAATTTCGTGAAGCAAGTTTTGTTGAATTCATACTACTTTTTAGATAGCAATAATAAATACATTGCAATATGATCATGTTGCCTGAACATGAACTGCATGAACGCCTCTAGCGTTAAAATATAAATTAATCGTTAAAATTATGCGTGTGATCAGTTGCACCGATAATTTCATTAAAAGCTACAACTAGAGCGGTAAAAAGCGATATTTTTTTTTTTGCAAAAATAAAAATAAAAATTACAAAACATTATTGCAAGAACCTATCACAAAAAGGAAATAATCAAATAGCCCCATAAACATGTCCGTAATGAACGCCTCAGATATACTAGGTATGTACATTGCAAATAAAATCAATTAATATACACACATCCCTCTCGTTACTTTGCTACATAATTTGTCATTTTAAACTTTATAAATATCTTCGTAGTTAACGTGTCATAATTTCGTGAAGATGGCCTAAATTATAATACTAAGAATTTGTAATCGTTCATAGACGTTACCATAAACCTTAGCGAATAGGGCCGTATGAAATTTTTCACATACCTAACTCTACTGTATTTAGGAGTAAAATTGTGAAATAGTGGTCAAGTAATATAATATTAATTTTATGTGACTTTTTAAGTAAATAACCAGTAAAATTACAAGACATACATAGTATTCCAATAAACGAGAGGATATTTAACAAATTGCTATCAAAGAGGCTGTATACGGCACGGTTTGGCAGAAAGAATACACAGGTATTTAAAAATTATTATTTTATGAGATCAAATTCAATAAAGTCTTTATTTCCACCAGTCTCAAACTCTGAAATTATGAAAAACTATCTATCTGACCCACAACCTGACACAGCCCTACTCGCTAAGGTCATGACCCCCCCGGTCAACAGACATCGATGTCAACTAATCCTAACCCAAACATTTACTAAATTTAAACACATCGTTTCGGCAGCGTGTGTTCTAAAACGGTTTATAATTTACGCGGTGAGATATACATTTCGCTTGATAAAGCTATTCAGAATAGATTCAATCCACTGTGACGACGAAAATCCTAATCGATTGCTGCCTTGCGATATTTTTAAATATTCTCGCTTTTAGTGTGCTCCGCCGCTGATCACGGAACATTAATTTTGTGCGTCATATTCGAACGGAAGCATAAACAAAAGTGCTCGCGAAATGACAGCTCTACACCTAAACATTGCTATAGAAGCGTTTAAAAATATCGCAAGTGTTTGAGTTACGTTAAAAACTACAATTAGTTTAGGGCGAAATGGAATCCCGACTCTACATCACTGAACACATTGTGAGTCCTTCCGCGCCCCCCCCTCGCAGTCCCTCGCCCCCCCGATCCGCAGCGCGAAAATGGGGGGCATTACAATATGCAGCACGAAGCTGAACAACAACTGCTTGATCCGCCTTTGCTCTTTTGCCGTTGATCTGAAAATACCAAAATAATCACTAAGTGAGTGCAGAAATTGATCATGGGATATTACGTAGTACCTACGCTTACTGTTTACAAGTGCTTAATTACTACACGAATTTGGACTATGACATCGGTAGGCGTATTACGTATCTTGCAGAAGGCTAGCGATAGCGGAATTAGAACAATAATTGCTGATAAATCGCAGATTCGTATTATGTATCACCGATAACCAAGCTAACTAGAGACAGCGCTGTCTTGTGGTCGCTATTTAGCTAGGGCTTGGTTATCGCTGGTACGTAATACGCCTACGGGGCTACCTTAACAAACTATTAACATATCCAAACAATCTCAAACTGTTAAAGGTGCAATAAAGCACGAGAACGAAATAGAAGTTATTAATATATATTTTGTTGGACTTGAATCTTGAATATAGCTTAAGTATATATTTTTTATCCACGCTAGGATTATCTCCTGTTCTTATCTAACGACTGTTTTACATACATAAATTGCATATGAACAATCATACGACCCGGAAACCCCCGATACATACGGATTAGAACCCGCGGCTTTGCAGCGCCGCAGTCAAACGTTTAAAGCACTATACCGCACGATCAATATTGAAGAGTGAGAATAACAGTTCATTTTTAATTAGCATATTAATTATTCTTACAAACACTGTTGGCGTAGTAGCCATAATACCTTCGTCTGTAATGGCCGACACACACGGTCTGTCAAACTGATCAGTTCAAACGGTTGTAAGCCACTGATGTAAGTCACTGGCTTCAAACTTAAGATTTCACACTCACGATTAGTATTTGGATGTACGTCAGTTCAACTGAGCAGTTTAACTGACCGTGCGCCTGGAAAAATCCGTGGATTGCCGTCAGTTAAAAATTTCAACTTAAGATTTCACACTCACAGTCAGTTTTTGGATGTACGTCAGTTCAATTACTAATAGGTGGTAGAGGTGTTTAACTGATCGTGAGTGACGAGCATAAGAGTAGAGGAAAATCGCGTAACGTCTCGGCTGTGTATTATTGCACCCTTTATTGCCAACCATAACCTATGCCAATTTATTTTAACACTGTAATACAAAAAATAACACTCATAGACATTTTAAAGGTTACGTTAAGTAGGTAAATGGTAAATAAGAATTATTATTATGGCATAACAATCTAATTTACTGCTGACGTAAGTGTATTATTAGCTAGAAACCTATAAATTGAAATGACATCTACGATGTGTAAAATAAGGAAGTAATAATAATACGAGTATTTAACCTCAAAAGCGAACTGGATTTTCCATTTAAAATGTCGCTAGTAATAAAAAAAACTAAGTAATTATAGGTATAGTATAAAAATTATTACTTAAAATCTGAAAAATAACCTCTAAATATGTCCATGAGGATTATTTCTTCTTAAAAGAGCGTTTCCATACTATCCGAATGATGTCATGATCGGAAGCCGAATAACCGATATTCGTTAACTATAATATAGAGTTTAACGCTTTTACATATCTTCTTGTTCTTCTTGTTCGTTTGTTTTATACACTAAGGGTTGGGTCATGTCAGACTACAAATAGGAACCGTTAATAATTTATTGTTTCAGAACTGCATATTATTAAAACAAATACTGCCAGTATTTGAGACCCCATTCTTGAAGCTATATCTATAAAGAGAATCTTTTACAGAAAGCATTATAGATGGTGTTAATTTAAAAAAAAGCCGAAAACATAGCACGCTCACTAATATTGTCGCCCGATAGCCCACAAGGGTCCACACCGCCTCCTGGCTGATATTATTACTTACAGCATACTATTATTTATTCTGTGCTTACAGTGTGAACATAAGTACAAATATAATTTAAGCGCTCCCTATATTGGATATTTGAGAAAGATATCGGATCGGATAGTGTGGAAACGCTCTTACTAAATATCTACTTCTTAACTAACAATTAAAAATAATTGTACTTATAGACTCACGAAGGATTCAAAGGAATAGGGATAGGATGTCAGGAGCGGGGTTAAGTCCATCGAACTTCTGAAATTATGTCAATAATATAGTTCACTTTTTTAAAAGCCAGCGCATAACTAGAATCACTATATAAAAATAATTATTTTTGCATAAATGGTCCTTCGGTGAAGTCAACTGTGGCATTTTTTTTTAGTATATATAGAATAGAAAATATTTTTATTCAATTTAGATTATATTATGTTAAGACATACTACTTATTGAAAGTCATTTTATGTTTTTACCACTGGGCACTAGTTTCACCACTATAATTTTCAAACACTGCTATCACGTTATATCATTATTTATATATTTAAATTTAAGTTTGAAATTTGGCTACTTTGAAAAATAACCCTGTATAGGTATGTGCAATTAAAATATACCATAAAACTATTTCATAACTAATATACAATGTATAAAACAAAAAAATAAACTACAATCGTGTTAATGTTATAGCCTAATCGCGGAATAGTGTCAAGAACACTCGCTAGCTCGCTACATTTCCTCGCTATTTGTATCTGCGAGAAAACGATCAACGTGCTTATAACCAGCGACAACTTCCGGTCGCGGCTATAGTTCCTAGATAAATTTTAGTCTCTGACAAATGATTACAGTTTTGCCATAAGGTAATCTATTGGTGTGAACACAACAAACGTGCAGTACACGTTTGTATCACGCACCAATAGATTACCTTATGGCAAAACTGTAATCATTTGTCAGAGACTAAAATTTTAATCATTTAATTCTGTTGACTCTGATGCCGCCCAGCTTAAGTCCTAAGATGGATCGGATTTCTATGACTATGTGTAAATTTTCGCCCATAAACAAAAATAATATATTTTTACTACGGAATACGAATTTGACAGATTGACGGAGAGGGAATCTGAGAGGGGGCCGGGGATCAAAACAAACTTCACTTCACCATACCCACTGAACATCAACAATGTTCCTATATTTAAGTATACATTGTTACAAGTACAATATAAGGTGTTGTTTTAACAGTAAATTTTTTATTCAATCTACATGCACCGGTGCTATTGCGTGACCTTAGCATGAATTGCTGATGGGAATCACTCCGCAATTATGTTATGATATTTTTATTATGATAGCATTATACAAACGCAAACAAGCAACTCAACAAGGCAAACGTCAAAACCGAACTAACCATGATTGTAACATTTTAGAGGAGAAATACAAAACTGTAATGACATAGAGTACTCTGTTTACGAAACCATGCAGGAGGCGACTGGGTGAGCTGAAATATTTCCAAGTCGATATTAAACTTGGTGCATAGATACCGTGAGAATTGGGCTCGGGCAGGTGCTCGCGCGGCACCAGGTGCATGACGGTGGTGCGGCCGAGCGGTAGGCCCAGCGCGCCCAGCGTCACCGAGCTGTGCAGGAAGCGGCCCTGGTAGATCAGCCGCAGGATCTCTGCGCGCGACACGCACTCCGACGCCCAGTCCGCTGTAATCAACGAAACATTTACAATTATTGTTATATTCTACTTTTTCTTCATCAGCCAGTAAACGTCCACGGCTAGACATAGAAAGTTCCAGTTCCAGAACAGGCGGATGACGTCTCGCAACTTTGACGCTGCTGCCATGCGAAATGGTGTACAGCCAGTTTCGAAAATCATTCAAATACCATATTATATTGAATGAACTAACGTTTTGAAACATATTTACTCGTTATCCTTATTTATCTAATATATTATAAAAATTAATGTATGTTTGTTTTTATTTTATATGCTGCTATGCCGTTCTTCAGATTGCGTTAAAACTTTGTCAACATATTGTTTGCACTTGCACGAAGGCTCAGTACAATTAACTTGCAGTAAGTACCGACAAATTCATTTGAAAATTATATATCATTCAATTTCAATGAATGTATTCCTAATAAAACAATATAACTCTAACAAATTCTAATTTGTAAGACGGTATTTCTGCAATTATTTCTTCAGCGGCAGCCGGGACCAGCTAGTATAAATATAAAAGAAACAAAATCAAATGATCGTAATTAACACCTTCATCTATCATCATCGATTAAAATTCATAATACAGAATACATTGTCACTTCCAAGGACTGATATGGAAAAGCCTCTTTACCAGTAAAAAGGAACTACAAATCACAAGTGAAAGGGAATGCTTTACAAACTATTAGACCATTTTTTAATACAAAATTACATAAAAAATAGTTAAGGTAAATAATTATAAAAAAAAAGTTAAAGTAATGTTACGGACAGCGAGAGACCCGCCGCCCCGTCGCCCCTTCGTTCCCCGTTACGTCCCGCGCACCCCGCACGCCGGCGCTGATCACGCGATATCGGGCAACCAATCAGCGCGCGTGCGGGGAATATTGCCATCGGGCGGCCAACCCGACGAAATGAAGCGCTCTTCTCGGAAATATAAGAAGGGCGCCTCGGACGGTCATTGTTCATTCGGGTTCATTCGGGTTCCTTCGGATCATCAGAAGACAAGGAAGAATCAAGACAGAAGACTCCACACTGAAGACCTCCCTTTTGTATAGTGATTAGTTAATGTACCGAACCCATTGTAAATAGTGAATATAGTATAATTAAAAGTACTATCTTTTCTTCGAGCAGTCCCCTAGTATAGCTAACCTCACACCGCCAGTTTAAATACCAAATACAGTCCACTACTCTCCATCCATTTTATCTTGGTCCATCGTCGCCGGATAGCAGCCAGAAGAAGGAAGAAAGAAGAAAGAAGTAAGAAGAAACAAGAAAGAAGGCAGTTATACAAGAAAGAAGGTAATTATAGAAGAAGGAACATAATTACAGAAGAGAGAAGATTATTATAGAAGATCTTCAAGGAAGAAAGAAGTTCGTCGACGAAGAAAGAAGATCGTCGGTACTAATTTCTTCCCTGTTTCTTGTTACGCCTACGTCATACGCGTCTATTGTCTGTTTCCAGACAATTTCTTGTTTCTTAACCGCGTTTACGCGGCCAGTGGTCACTCCCTAACGGTGCCAAACTGTGACCATCTGGTAACGCCCTTGTGGCGGGAACGACATCCATACGTGTGTCTTTTTAAAGACTGTACGTACGTCTTTTTGAAGACGACCGGAGGTCGCAACGTGGGACCATGAGGAAAACACGAAGCCAGAAGACACGGAACGATGATGACACGCCGGTAGGAATGCGCATATTCGAAGAAGCACCCGCGTCCCCGTCCGATTATCTCGCGATGGCACAAGCGCCCTCCGCCGCGCCCGCGCTCCAGGCCCCGCCCGCGCCCGCATCTACGCCCGCGCCCGCGCCCCCGCCGCCGCGCCCCGCTATGTCCGTGTCCACGACCGATCGTTTGGGAGAGGTTAGCATTTCCGCGCCGCGTACAGAGACACTCGCCGCGATTATAGAAGATCTTCCGTCTACAGAGATTAGTTCGATAGTACGTACCGTCGCGCCTGTAACAGACGTACATAGGCCCGCGCCCCGCGCTCCGTCGGTTCGCTCCGTTCGTTCAGCCCGGTCGACGGCTAGTGCGATAGCTAAATTAAAGCAAATTGAATATAACGCCGCGGAGGAACTAGCTGCAATTAGGAGGAAGCAATTGCAGTTGGAAGAAGATCTTATTAGGAAGAAGTACGCTAGGGACGTCGCGCAACTGCAAGAAGAAACAGATAGGGAAAGTGTCAACGAAGACGAGTTAGTTGAAAATAGGGTACGCGTTGATAGGTGGTTAGAGAACGTAGAGACTGTGCGGGGGGAGTCGCCTTCCCGCCCCTCTCAGCCCGCGCCCCGCATCGAGTTAGAGCAGACCCTACCGAACAGGGTAACCGGTTACGACCACAGTGAAGATGCCCAGGGGAGGACGGAAGCGAATAACGTTCAACCGCGCCGCATAGATTCGGTACAAAGGGAAGATGGAGTCGCCGCAGGAATGAACCAGGTGGATCGTCGTGTACGGGTTACGTCGCCGTCGCGCGTCCAACGCCGCACTCTATCGCCTACACATAGATCGCCACATCGCCACGCGGATCGTAGATCACCGTCGCCGCATAGGGATGTAGGTGCGCATAGGACGCCAGCGCCACAGCGTAGGCTAGAGAGAGATAGGGATAGAGATAGGTCGCTTACTCCGCGAGGAAAGGATAGGGGTATAGAGCGACTAGCGGAAGCTCTGGAGAATATGGTCAGAGTTAGGCCCGCTGCCGCGAAGCAGACGCAGGACTTGCCTATTTTTAACGGTTCGGCCGCGGAATGGCTAGCGTTCAAAGCCGCGATGAAAGAATCCACGCGTCTATATGGATTCACAGATACGGAAAATATGGCAAGGTTAAGAAATTGCTTACGCGGTGAAGCTAGGGAAGTAGTATCGGCACTGCTGTTTACCGCGAAGGATCCAGCAGATATTATGCGAACATTAGAGCAGTGTTTCGGCCGCCCGGAAGTAATTATCGATCGCGCGTTAGAAGAATTGAAACGCCTTCCGCGCCCGGGTCAAACTGCACAGGAGCTAAATGCGTTCGCAATAAAGTTGCAAAATATCGTGTGCATTTTGCAAAACGTCGACGGCAAGGGATATCTGAAAAATCCAATGCTTACTAGGGAGGTAACGAGTAAGTTAAGCCCTCACTTACGGTCGCGTTGGTGTGATTATGCGGAGTACTACGGGAGTGCAGACGAGCCGGACATCGTTACACTGTCCAGGTTCATGATGAGAGAGGCTGACCGTGCGTTGAGTCATGCCTATACTTCCGTAGAGCCGACTAAGGAATCGCCCGTAAGACGAGAGGCGCCGCCGTCGAAGAGGATAGTGACACGCCGCGTAGAGAATAGGGCTCGCGACGTAAAAACGTTCACCGCACAGGAGGACACCGGTAGTGCCTCTTGTATGTGCTGCGGAGGTGAACACGCGATCGCAAAGTGTAAAAAGTTAGCGCAAATGGGTGTGGACGACCGGTGGAATTGGGTAAAAGAAGACGGGGTATGTTTTCTATGTTTAAACAGTAAACACCGACGGTTTAAATGTAAAGCAAAGAAATGCGGCATCGACGGCTGCAACGCCCCCCACCACGCCCTCCTTCACACCCGCAAGACCCGCGCACCTGAGACATCGGCCAAACCAGATGAGACCGTACTCGTCGCGTCTAACGTCGGTAGGAATGCATCCGTACTGTTGAAAGTGTGTCCCATTACGTTACGTGGACCACACGGTAAGGAAATAGACACGTACGCGTTGCTCGACGAAGGTTCGACTATTTCGTTGATCGATGACGACTTAGCGCGTGAGTTAGGAGCGGAAGGACCGGTAAAGCCGCTGAATATTAGGGGAATAAGCAATAGTCAGCGCGAGGCCGATAGCAGGCTAGTCAACATAGGCATACGTGGAAAATCGCGCAGCGAAATGTATAGAATAAATGCGCTTACAGTAACGAATTTACAGATAGGTTCGCAGTCGGTGAATAAAGAGTGTTTACGTCTAAAGCATTTACGCGACCTACCGAGCTCGGTTTGCTATGAGGACACCAAACCGAGATTATTATTAGGAGCCGACAATTGGCATTTAATAATCACCCGTAACTTGAGGATAGGGCGTCGAAGGCAGCCTATAGCTGCACGTACGCTATTAGGATGGGTGATACAAGGAACCGTGCCGCGATTCACGTGTAGGGAGGACGGTGAAACCGTGTTACACGTCGTAAGCAGTAGCGGACGGATAGATAGGGACATCCGAACGTTCGCGAGTCAAGACGAGGAGATAACGGAACTCCTCAAACGGCAGTACGAGATCGATTCCATCGGTATCTCGCTAAGGAATAGGCCGCGACGGGAAGAGGAACGCGCTGTCGAGATATTCCAGCGCACCGTCAAGAAGGTCGGCGATCAATACCAGGTGGGACTGCCATGGAAGGACGACGACGTGCGGATGCCTCCTAGCTACGAGATGGCTGCTAGAAGATTGCGGACGATCGAGAGGAAGATAAACAAATCGCCAGAAGTATCACGACTGCGGCTGCCTAGGTGCTATGCTCCTACGGGGGGAGTGGTAGAGCGTCAACTCCACGTGTTCAGCGACGCAAGCGAACGTGCGTACGCATCCGCGGCGTATTGGCGATTACGATACCGCGACGGAACGGTTAAGGTACGATTAGTGGCGGCCAAGGCGAAAGTCGCCCCGATAAAGGCGCAAAGCATACCACGGTTAGAACTGCAGGCGAATCTGATAGGCGCGCGACTCGCGGAATTCGTGCAAGGCGAGCACAGAGTGGTAGCCGATAGGGTAGTGTATTGGACAGACTCCACTACGGCGCTCCATTGGATTCAAAACGATACGGCGCGTTACACCCCATACGTAGCACATAGATTAGGGGAGATATCGGAGAAGACGTCACCCGAGCAATGGAGGTGGATACCGACCACAGACAACATCGCGGATCAGGCAACGCGCATTAATTATACGTACAAGGAAGAGAGCGACAAATGGTTTACGGGACCGCC